GATTTAAAATAATAAAATCTATTTTTTAAACTCTGACTTATAGGTCTGTGTATCAGTATGTATGTGTGTGTGCACGCACACCGCGTGCACGTGAGCATGTGTGTGTGTGTGTGTCTTGTGTGTATGTGTGCAGAAGTCAAACTTGGCTGTTGTTCTTCAGGAGCTGATCACCTTATTTTTTGAGACAAAATCTCTCACGGGGACCTAGGGCTCATGATTTAAGCTCAGTTAGATGGTGACTGAGCTCCAGGGATCCAGTTGCAGGTGCCCCCCCCCAGCACTGGGATGACAAGTGGACACCCTCGCCTTCTTACTTGAATGTCAGTGGCTGATTATGTCCTCATATACACTCAGCAAGCTCACTACATGCTGAGCTGTCTCCCCAGCCCCCAAACCCTGAGTTCTTAATAATAAGAAAAAAATCCATTGATGTCTATCCTACCAACTCAGCATTATGAAAGCAATAAAGAACCTAACTTTTGTCTTTTTATTAAAATGATATTTCGGGGTCACTAGGTGATGAGGGGAAGTTCTTCCTTATAGAATAATTCTGTCAATAAATCTAGAGGGAAGGAAGGGGAGGAGGGAAGGTGAGTGCAGAAAACTGTACAGCTCAATTAAAAACAATAAAGTATAAGAAAGAAAAGTCAACTTGTATGAGCAGATTGCAATAACAATGGGCAGTGGCCATCAGGACACACTATCCTGTTAGATAAACACTTAACAAAGTTTGGTAACAGAAAGATCAGCCCACACCACCGAATCCACTGTCCTCACTATTACAGAAAGTTGGAGAAGCAGAACTCCATTCCTGTAAAATGATGTGATCGAAGGCACCACCCTTGAACTTAACAAGACTTTAAATCTACCTGGCACTTTACAGGAAATTCTGGGGACAGAGGAACAAGCCCACACAGGGGTGGGATAAGCAAGACATTTAAAGAGGACAAATAAAGGTTTCTCAATGCATAGCTATGACTCATGGCCTTCAAGCCTGGTGAGAAAGAACTAGCTGTCACACACTGGTGAGGCAATACGGAACTTTGAGCGGGGATAGGATGAAGCATAATTAAGCAATTTTTGCTAATTTCCTTGGGTGTGAAAATGGCATGTGGTCATGTTTCTTTTAAGTTTTTATCTACTAGAGATACCTACAGAACACTTCTTGGGTGGTGACATTTTACTATGTCTGTGGTTTTCCTTAGCCTTACCCTCCCCACAAAAAAATGGCGGAGACACATGGGCACAAGAGTAAGAGCCAGGAGAGACCATGGGTGCCGCCCCACCATTCCCCCTCTTCCTGTGTTCACACTGGCCTCTCTACTTTATGCTCATGCATCTGTCCTCCATAGTCTGGGCCTGGTTCTGTGCCCTGGGAGGTGAGCCTTGAGGTGGGTTTCCGGCTGGGCTTAGCCTTTGGTGTCTGCACAGCTGCTCAGTCCCTTTCTGCCTCCAGATATTCCACTGCCACAGATTCAGCCATTGTCCAGGGCTATCATGACAAATATGGAGGGCCTTAACAACATGCATTTCTTTTCTCACAGTTCTGAGGTTAAACCTTTGTAACTGAGCATCAGCAAGGTTGGTTTCTTCTGAGGTGTTTCTCCTCAACTTGTAGGTGGCTGTCTTTTCTCCAGTTCTCCAAGATGTTCCCAATGGACACATAGGTGTCCTCACTTCTTATCATAAAAATACCAGTCAGATTAGACTAGGGCTACTCCAATGACGTCCTTGTTAAAACCTTACCTCGGCCAGGTAATATGGTACTCAGAAGATGGGAGCAGAATTGGGGGTTCAAGGACAGTCTCTGTTACATGGGATATTTCAGGCTAGCCTGGGATACATGAAAATCTTCTTATAAAAATTAAAGGAAACACACAAATGAAAGGAAACAGAAAACTGTGTTTTCTCTAAACACAGTTGCTTTCTGAGGAACTAAGGAGTTTGGAATTCAGTAAATGAATGGCGTGGGGCCATACTTCAGCACGTAAAAGCCACGATCAGCAAACTTTACCTACACAGGGCCAAACAGTAGATAATTTAAATACCGTAGGCAATACAGTTCCTGTTCCTATTGCCCCTTAGCTGAATCATAAAATGGCTGCAGATAGTGTGTTGTGTAAGTAAATGAGTTTGGCTACATTCTAATAAAACTTTATTTAAAAACCAGTGGCAAGCCATGGGCCATGGTTTATCAGTGTTTGTACTGGCTGTTCTTCTTGCCTTGCTACTTTCCCATGCATTCACTTCTCAGGGTCTCCTTAAGGACAAAGGGTGATCACAGCTCCCCACTATTGACGGTCCCCTGGTGTCATTGTTCCCTTAGTTCTGTTAATCTTCTGTCCCATAATGTTTTCTTAGTTATTGTCACTCAATTTTCTTTAGTTAAATTCCTCTTGAGTGTATGGCCTCTTTCTAGATAGCCACCAACTAAAAATATGTATTTGAAATTATATGCTTAAAATAGTGTTACATATTTGATATTTCTCATAAAGTGCCATAATGAAAGAAAAGTATAGATTTGGAAGGTAGCATTGATATGATTGGTTCCTGGCTTTTCATGGTGTCTCCACCAAGGGCAAAGATGAAAGACATGACAGGTGCCTAACAGTGAGAACCAAGATGCGGCTGAGCAGGCAGGCAGGAACATGCCTAGGACCTGACAAGAGAGGGAGGGACCAGAGAGTGAACTGCAGTTCACTAGCCATGGGGTTCAATGGCCACCTTGTGAGGACCAGACCTGGACCTATCCCACCCAAGCAGGCCCCAGGTGTATGCAGAGTTTTCTTGTTCTGATTGCCTGCTCCCAAATAATCAGAAGGCACCTTCCAAATAACTGACTTGGAGACTTAATATGAATTATAAATGCTCAGCCAATAGCTCAGGTATGTGACTAACGGTAGAGAGCAGCGTGATGCCATGCTTTCCAGGTGGCACTGACTTCCACCTTCCACCTTTCCAACGGTGAATGCTCTCAGGTGTGTAACAACTCCATATATGGCTAATGCTAAAATCTGGTTTGCTTCCGCGTTTCTGGACCTATCTGCGTTTCCCACGTGGCTTGCTGGGGTTGGCTACCCAGAGGTTATTTAAGCTGAGGACTGGCTCTGCCTGGGGTGAGAGGTTGAGAAAGAGCAAGAGGTAACGAGAGATAGTGACAGGGTGAGAAGATTCTGAATAAAACTGCAGTTAAGAAGAGTCTAATGTTGCGTCTTCACTGCTGACAAGAAGAACGCGACAACTAACTAGTTCTGACAACTTAACCCATTTCTATTAATCTATGTACTGCCCCAAGGCTCGTGGCTTTTATCTCTATCTCATTTTGTATGTCCAACTCTTTCTCCCTCTGACAGACAGCTGATTCCTCTCTCTCCGCCCTTCCTCATCCCATCATTCTGTTTGGCTTTCCCACCTAACTTTATCCTGTTCAGTTATTGGGCAGTCAGCTTGTTTGTTAAACCAACCATAGCAACATATATTCACACAGTGTACAGAAGGATTATTCCACAGATCCAGGGCAAGAAGTAGCCCGGACCAGCCTCTCTTCCTCAGTTGACAACAAGGACACAGAGGTAGGTCATGTGCTTTCTCTGCTGCCACAATGTGTGGCACCACACATTGAGACACATGCTGAGACACCAAAAAAGAACTATGAGAGACTGGGAAGGCTTCCTTTTGCCTACAGAAGCTAACCATGACTTCTAAAGACTTGCATCAAACTGTGCTTATGGGACTGGACTGAAACATGAGGCCACCCCTTGCTGTCTTCTAAGACTGTTCCAGCATTTCACTTGGATAGCATTATAAAATCCCTTACATAAAATGGCACAGAATTTGCATAGCATCCTGCATATATTACATCATCTCTAGACTACTTACAGTCCTTGCTACTAAGTAACTGCTCCACAAATAATTTTTTGTGCCGTGTTGGACTGACAAGGAAAGAACCCCAATGCATTCAGCACTCAAACAAGTTTTTAATTTAATATTTTGTTGCGTGTTCATGTGTGCACACACATGCACATGCTAAAGACATATGTGTAGAGATCAGAGGACAATTTTCAGAAGCTGGTTCTCTCCTTCCCTCATGTGGAGACTTGAGCGCAAACTCAGGTTATCAAGTTTACAAACAGGTACTTTTTGTTTGTTTTCTGAGACAGGGTTTCTTGTGTAGCTCTGGCTGCCCTGGAACTCGCTCTGTAGACCAGAACTCTGTGGCCTCGAACTCACAGATCCCTCGCCTCTGCCTCCTGAGTGCTGGGATTAAAGGCACACACCAAGACGCCTGGCTGTAACTGGGCTCCTTTAGCTGCTGAGCGACCTCAGCAGATCCAGATGTAAATTTTGAAAATAGTGTTGGCTCAGCATTCTGAAGAAGAAGGCAGGAGAATTGCCATGAGTTCCAGGCCAAATCTACATAGCAAAACTTTGTCTCAAAAACATTTTTTTTTAAAACCCACAATTAATTGAATATGCAGATTCAGACTCACGGATGTGAGACTGAGTTGCTTTTTATCCAGTAGCTGGGAACTGCTGTGGAAAATGAGAGCTGCTATAGACAAAGAAACCAACCACATTTCTCCGCATGCTTCAGAAAGCTCAGGAACCCCGAAGTTGTATTCGCCTGTCAGGTTAAACACTTAACTAGATAAGGGAGCCTGAGTTTGAAGGGCTGAAACCATCTCACAAATCTCCAACACCAAGTGCTGTTGAGGAAGCCCTGAGGGTCTCAGAGTCCTGCACCGGATTCGCCAGGAACCAGCCATCTGGAGCCAGGCTGTGCGCTGACCATCACTCTCCCAGTGGAAGCCCCCATCCCGGTCCCATGGCTCTCTGCAGACTGCTGGGGTCCCCAGGAAATGAGGTTAGCAGGCTCTAGCCGGGCCAAAGCTCTGCGCTTTCGTCTTCTTTATGAACCCTGCCCTCCTAGTAACTCTGCTCAGGAAATTGCACGTATTTCCACCCCCACCCCACACCCCCGCTTTGTTGCTTTGCCGGCAGCACAGCTGTTGCCGGTTCACCTGCCAGCTGAGGCCTCGCGGGGAGGAAGCGGAGAAGAAAAGTTCACAGGAAGGGAAGGAATCCAGGTGAGACTCGGCCAGAGAACGCCCTTTCTTTCCACCGGCCTTGACCTCTCTGCTCCTGAGAATTCCCATTTAAGCATCTGCTGGTATATGCGCATCCAAACTGCCTCAACTCACCCAGAACAGTGAGGCTGCTGGGTGTGCCGAATAAATTTTTAGAAGTAGCAGACCCAGTTTTCCTCCTTCCCTCACACAGCATTTATTAATTTACTAAAGGACTATCTTGAGCAAGCAGCGCTGGTGATGCCGTGATGAGTAACACAACAGAGCAGGAACAAGAGACATGGCCTCTTCCTTGTGTGTATCCACACCGCTGTGCACTCACGTCTGGCTGTGGAATCAGTGACCCATGCACTGAAAAGACAAGGGAAGTCGTGCTAGTGAGCATGTGCAGACTTTCTCCTCCTGCCTTGCCTGAGTTAGACAGTCAACCCCTACCACCACCGCGTTTGCCCTGCGCTGGCTGTCCTGAGACACTTAGACAGGACTTGACGGAGTCACGTAGATTATACACAAATACTACGCCATCCTGTCTGAGAGACTTGAGCATCCATGCATTCATCCATGCTCTTCAGGGCTCATAGATTCGGTCCCCTGAAGATAACACAGAAAAACTGAGTCTATGTCTACATGCAAAACACCTAACTGTGAGTATCCACTCCATACTTAGCGTGAAGGAGGCATGAGGCGTAGGAAGAGAAAAGAAGCTGGGATGAGAAGCTGGAAGGTTAGGAGGTCCGAGGGGCCATGTGTGGGAGACCATCCAGGCCATAAAGGGCAGTCACTTTTCTATGCCCCCCAGTACTGCTCAAGCCCTATTCAATAGTGCCTCTCTGGCTTGACAGCAGCCTGCTTAGAGGGCGGCGGGCACCAGCTGCTTTGTCAAGACCGGGAAACTGAGACCTAGGAAGGTGAGGAACCCCAGGAGTTCACACAGCTGGTACATTAGGATTTGAATCTTTCTGAGCTCCCTGACACGTAAATGCTATGGAGTCTTGTGTCTTCCAGACATTCCTGTCTCAACAGAAACCACCAAAGAAACAAGGATAAGAGGCAGTGGCAGACAGAGTCTGGACTGGCCTCAGCTCCGCAGCGGCAACGCAGCAAAAAGTGGACAAAGAGAAGAAGCAAGAGCAGGGCACAGGTAGAGGAGGAAGAGGAAGTAACAGTGGTGGTGATGGTGAAGGGGGAAGTGGGGTGCCCGGGGCTCCCCGCACCTTACAGCATTAACTCTGCCAGCGGCTTTGTACAGCAATGCTCTGCACACTCTGTTAGAAATATTTCTTAATATTAGCTCTCTGCCAACACAAAAATTCCCAATCAAGCCAAATCAAAAACAAGCCAAATTAAGAAATATCCAGGTTTAATGGGAGATCTGCGCTCTCGGGTAGCCCCAAGGGGGAACCGGGAAGCCGCATGAACACCCCCCCCCCCCAGGAAGAAAGGGAGACCACGTGTGGGAGATCACTTAAGTACCCTGGGGAGCCGTCTGACCCCATCCCCAGGAGGGGTCAGGACCTGGCCTGCTGGGATTTGGAGTCCAGACCAGGCCTGGGGGCTGGGATAGATGCGAGGGACTAGGGCCTACACTCTCAATTTACACACTCTTTCTGGAATGGAGCATTGAGGCTATAGCTAGCCTTAGGGTCTCTTTTGCTTCAACCCTGTCCTGACTTTCCTGCTCATTAGGACCCAAGCGACATGATTTCAGTCTCCCCCGGTGCCGCTATTTCCTCCGTTACTAAATGGGAACACAGAGTCCTGGCTTCGGAGGACTGCTGGCAGTGTCATAGGAAGTAACATCTGCAAAGTCCCTGGACCGCACTGACAGGATGGTGGCCACTGCGGTTCAGCTTTCCTCTCCCCAGGCACTGCAGGTGAGTCAGGGTGGGGGTGGGGCCGGCCTGGCCTCTCACTTTCGCCTGGCTGCAAAGCCCTCCTTCTGCCTTCCCGGCATTGGTGTTGGAGAGACCCGACCAGTTTCTCAGAGAAGAAAACAGACGCCACCTGGATGTTAGCTTCATCCTTCCTGTTTCTTCTCCAGGGCAATCCTGCTTGCTTGCCAGACATGAGGAGTGAGGGCCAGCTGGGTGGTGGTGCCACGCGTGCCTTTAATCCCGGTACACAAAGGCAGGTGGATCTCTGTGAGTTCAAGGTCAGCCTGGTTTACAGAGCAAGTTCCAGGACAAGCTCCAAAGAAACTCTGCCTCGAAAAACAAAAACAAAAGAGTGAGGGTCATGAGTGAGAAGCCTCAGCCTGTTGGGTACGCTCTCTGATTTTGACTGACCACCAGGCCTATGAATAGGGTGGCTTGGTAAGCAAGCAGCAAGTCAACTGGTGAGGTGAGGAGAAAACACACTCTGTTCCTGCAATCCCCCCAGGTAGCTTCAAACTGTCCCTGGGTGCAGCTGCCATTCAGATTTTGGCTCCTCCATCCTGCTTCTCCGTATCGCTCCCTCTGTCTGTGGCGCCTCCATCCTGCTTCTCGGTATCGCTCCCTCTGTCCACTCCCTCTGGGTTCTCCATCTCAAATATATTCACACAGGACTGACTCAAACCAGTCAGAAGGAATCTCTCCAGGGAGTGGTTACATTCTCATAGGCAAGTGTTCCGTTTGCTTGAGGGAGGGGCTGGAAAGCTTTCTCCCACTACACCGGTGAGAGAACAGGGTTTCAAAGTGTATGCATCTGATTACCCTCCAGTTTGGACCACGCTGGATTCCGACCATGGACCCCCACTAAAACTGCTGCTGCATATGTCAAGACTCCATCGGGGCATGCATTATCTGCCACTTCCACCCTCCCACCCATTAGTGTCAAGTCGGAGGGGATGCTAATGACTGAACCACTGAAGGAAAGAGAGATTGCTCCAGCTGAATATGGAGAAGGAGAAGGGAAAGCAAGTTATTTGTACAGAGAGATTACACATTTGCCGGACTGCAATTCAAAATTTGCCAAACCTAACCCATTTTCCATAAATTCATTTACTGACGTCTAGAAACCCCACTGAGAAATCTATTTCTGATCTCCTTTTGAAGAGTTATTTAATTCCCAGGGAGCGTGGCCCAGTGGCAAGATATTTCCGAGAAGAGGGAGGGGAATCTAATTCTCTATTTGGTTTAATTTTCTTCTGGAACACTTGTGAAGGCTCAAATCCAAGGGGAGAAAAAAAAAATACACTCTTACTTCAGACAGCACAGCAAAGAAACAGGGAAAAACAGAACTTTCCTCAGGAAGAGAGGCGGCGGGCACAGACTGCACGTAAGCACCACCTTATAAATCCGTAATCTGCTTGAATTTGTACAGGATTAAGGCTTCCAGTGACTAAGGGCAGAGATGGAACAGTTTAAGAGAGAGTGGATCTTAGCTGTGGAAGATGCGTGGCTAGAAAGACAGATGGATGTGTGACTGGGCGGGTGCGCAGGTGAGCCAATGAATGTGGGGTGAGCATATAGGTCACTCGGCAGCTACACAGTGCAGGTACGTGAACGAGTGGATGTACAGGCAAGCTAATGGATGCTGCATGCGTGTGTATGCGGGCAGATGAGAGACGAATGGAAGGACGTGTAGCGTGGTAGATGGGAAAGTAGAGAAGCCAGGAGGCTAAATTCTGCTCGTGACTGGGATTTGTTTGGCCACATGATTCTGAGGAAACTTTTGCGTTTGTTGCTCTTCCTTTACTACACAGAAAAAAAAAAGAAAAATCACTTAAAAGCCAGATCTCTCTCCTCTTTCAAACAGCCAGACAATTTTTCAAAACTGGAACTACATTTCTTTTTGATACCAACTGAGTAGGGCCCAGAAACCGCAAGCAGCTTCAGATCAGGGCCCTCGCCGTCCCACATTAGCTGCGACACCTGCCAACTCCACTCTCATACACTGTCTCCTGCAAGGAGGCGTTTGCTAACACAGTAAAGGGTTCAGGACAGAAGGCTGTCGGTCTATTCTGATATATATATATATAAGTACTTTTACCCTGGTAGCATCGTGAATATTAGACGCTTATCTCTCAGAGTTCTGGGGTCTTGAGAAGCAACTGTCAAGGCGCCAGCAGGCTCTGAGTCTGGATCGCTCTCTGCTTTATCGATATCTGTCTTCATTTGGTTTTTTATTGCTGTGAAAAGACACCATGACCTTGGCAACTCTTCTGAAGAAAGCACCTAATTGGGTGGTTCACTTGTAGTGCCTGAGACTCAGTTCATTATCATCATGATGGGGGACGTGGCGGCGTGCAGGCAGACATGGTGCTGGCTACATCTTGACCAGGAAGCAGCAGGAAGCCGACTGTCACACTGAGGGAGGCTTGGAGCAAAAGAGACCTCAAAGCCCGCCCCCACAGTGACACACTTCCTCCAACAAAGCCACGCCTCCTAATAGTGCCACTCCTTTTAGGGACCTTTTCTTTCAAACCATCACAATAACACCCCTGGCTGTGTCTTCACAGAGCTCCCTTTAGCCTCTCTTACAGGGTCACTAAGCCCCTTTAGGAGGACCTCAGGTGGGGGCACATGCCAATGCCAGGAAAGGAAGAGGGTCTCAGGCAGCTAGGAAGTTGAAAAGAATTCAAGGACTCACGGGCAGATAAGACGTATTTTATCCACTCCATAAAAGGGCCCCCAGGCAGGTGGCTATTGGTGAGCTCATACCAGCCTGGTATTTTCAACATTCCTGCACACCAAAGACTCTGCCTCTGACTACGGTCACATGGGCAGGAACAGGCCAGAGCAGGCACACGGTTGGACACTATCACTGGCTATACCTTGGGTCCTGAGATGCACTGTCACAGATCAAGCATTAGGAGCTACAGAGGGAGCTTTCTCTGGGCACCATGCACTCAGGACTGTGCATCCCTGCCTGTCTCTTCAGCTTGATGCATTAACCTCTTCACAAGATCTTTAAAACACTCCAGGCCCCAAGTTCCCATATAGCTATTCAACTATGACCAGACTGCATTCCCTGCAAATGAGATGGGAGCTGGCTTTCCTAGAGGCAGGGCATGGCACAGGCCAGTGATCCTGTGTCCAGGCTGCTTCCTTGGGTTTGTCTAGAGAATATCTCATCTTTTAAGTCTTAACTCAGCCCCACATCCTTCTCAAAACCTCCTCCACACTCCACCCTGCAGGCAGAGGGGCGTTCCCTCTCCGCCTTGCCCACCACAGGACCATGAGCCAAAGAGCTTATGTGTCTGTCTCTCCCGGGGATACACTGTCCCACTCCATCCAGGGGTTTCCAGCCGGAGTGATATGACCTTATTGAGCTTGACCCTAAGCCCCTCTCCTCTCCTTCATCTTCTCCCCCTTCCTCTTCCTTCCCCCCTCCCTTTCTTCTACTCCCCCTCCTGTCCTTACATGAAGTCACAAATTGGGAGAAAAGCTTTGGGGCAGGAAAAGAACAAAATTCCAAGAAGGACTGTGTGGTTGGTGTCTTCTCTTCCTCCTCTTTGTGTATCTGCACATTTGTGTAAATGTGTGCCAGGAGACACCTTCCCTCTGAGACAGGGCACTCATTGATTAGAACATTGGGAATCGGCCTGTCCTTTATCTCCGCAGTGCTGAGATTGCAAGCATGCACACTACAATGCCTGACTGTTTTTCTGTGGATTCTGGGGGTTGAGCATGTGCCCTCACCCCTTACTGAGCTGTCTCCTCAGTCCCTCAGCCTCTCCCATGCTTTAGCTGCTGACTCTCTCTCCTCTCTCTGGGCCTTCACCTTGAGTTCCTGCCACCAAGTCCTCAAGTTTCAAGATCAAATTCTTCATATGAGGAACTTTAAGTGGTCAAATAGTCCCCTTTGTCCCTGTTGGTCCCAGCTGTTGCTCACGGGCACCTCAGAGGCTGTTGCTCATCATGAGAATGACTGTCATTTGGAAGAGACCCAATGCTCAAGTTCAGGGATTAGAAGTCCCAGGTGGTCACCAGCGCAGTTTTAGGAGAGGAAACGCAAGAAGGCAACCGAGACATAGCTAGCTTTCTGAAACCGTGTCACCCAGGCCCACCAGACACTCACAATTGGATTCCTTAATATTTAATATTTATTGATTAACAGGTAGAAAATATCCAGTTGATTGTGTATAACTAACTTACATACAGTCCCAAGAATTGAATAAAAAGGTGCTAGACAGGAGAGGCAAAGAGCAATTTCCTCCAAAAACTCAATTTGTTTTGTTCTCTGCATCAGATTCCCTTTTGCTTAAGCCTAATTCCTAAGACCTCCAAAACTCCCGACCTGGATTGTCTCTGAAACGGTTCCTCCAGGACACAACTTTCAGGGTTAGGCGGCTTCTCTCTTGGTTCCAGCAAGAAGAGAAGAGAACCATGAGCCTGGTGGCACAAGGGACATCAGGGCTGCATCAGGGTTACATGTTATGATGCAAGGTGAAGGGTCCCACTCACCAGTCATATCCACGAACCTCACAGGCTCCTTCGGCTTGAGTAGACAGGCTCCCTCACCCACCCCTACGAACGAAACCCAGCCCCTACTCTCTGCAGGCTCTGGAGAGATCTCAGTGTGGACGTGAGCCTCCTCTGGTGGAGGGGACCTCCTTGGGCGTGCCTGGCGTGGATAATTCAGTGTTCATTTCATGGCCATTCTCTCCTCACGTGGCTTCTGCTCCTGAGTCTAAATAGGCCTGACATCCCCACTACACCTTAGAACCTTTGCGTGGCTGTTTCTCCTCCTAGAACGCTTTCTGCCTGGATCACAGTATAGCCTGCTCGCTCTCTTCCTTGGGGGTCTTCATACAAAGCCCCTGTGAGGTTCTCCCTGGCTACTCTGTTCTATGAGGAAACACACAAAACTGAGAACTAATAAACCAAAGAGGTTCATTTGCTAAAGATTTGGTGGCAAATTGTCCCGGCTCTGAAAGGACCCCTGCAGTTGCATTATACCACAGCAGAAGGCATAACAGCAGCAGTGAGCACAGCGTTGAGGGATCGCTGCAGCCCTGGAAGCCAGGAAAGGCTCGCTCATCTATAGCATGCTTTCAACAATTAGCTCAGTGACTGGGGAGAAAGACCATATTCGGTCTGAAGTATGAACCAATGTGTCGTTACTCAAGGACCTCCTGCAAGAACACACATCTTAGATATTAATGTCCCTCTTAGTAAGAATCTACCGCCTCTCATATCACCATACTCCAAATTCTAGCACTACCAAAACCCAGCACCGCCCCAAACCCAGCACCACCCAATGATAGTACAATAGAGACCCAGCACCTCTCAGCACCGTTGGGATCCCAGCACCACTCAAATCCCAGCTTCTCCCATACCAAAGCATCACTGAGAACCAAGCACTCCCCAGAACCCAGAACCACCCAAATCCCAGCACCATCCCAATCCCAGCTTCACCCAAACCCCAATACCTCACATATCTCAGTACAATCCAGACCCCAGCATTACCGAAACCCCAGAACCACTCAAATCTCAGCATCACCCTGATCCCAGCACAGCCAAGATCCCAGCACCATCAATACTCCAGCATCACCCACTGCCATCACAGTACCACATAGACCCCATTGCTATGTAAATCCCCATACTGCTAAAACCCCAATGCCGCTCTGATTCTATAACTACCAGATTTCCATACCACCCAGACTTCAGCATGACGCACGTCCCAGCTCCACCCAAACCCCAGCATCACCCACATCCCAGCACCATCCAGACACCAGACCCCATCATCACCTGCAACCCCAAACCACCCAGACCCTAGTATCATCCAGACCCCAGGACCACCAATATCCCAGCATCACCCACATCCCAGCACCAACCCAAGTTCCGGAAGCATCCTAAGCTTCAGCACTCCAGACGGTTGCTCTCCCCATCCCTCTTTTCTGTTCCCTCCTTAACTCTGAGTATTATTTATGTCTGATACTCTCTGCTATTTAACTTGCACACTCTATTTCCCCTGGTAGAATATAAGTTCCATGAAGCCTGATGCTCTTGTCTGTTTAATAAGGTTTCCCAGCAGTCAGGAGTGTGCCCAGAAGAAGCTTC